GGCATTTCAAAGAGTCTTGGACTCAATGAAATGTCCCAACTAACTCTCAAACACAACCGGCACACTCTACGGTGTCCGACACGCAAAACGAGAAAAGACGAGAATGCCATTGCATGAATGAAAAAAACTTTTGCAGAAAAATGAAAAATGACGAAATTCAGAAATATTACAATTTCATTTAAAGATTGTTCAAAAAATCAAAACCCATATCTTTTAGTTTCCATCGCTCGCTTTTCCAGTTCGAGTTCGCTATCTGCAAGCTTCAGCCACTATCTCTCAACTCTCAAGCCTGCCCCCCTCTTTGTGTGCAACTGCTAACTTATATGTATGGGTTTTCTTTTAATTTTTTTTTAATTTTATTTTATTTTTTCTAAATCAAGGTCTGTAATTCTTGTTTTGCAAACTAAAATCAAGTGTAATTTTTTTTTTTTTTTTCCGTATATATATATATATATATATATATATATATATATATTGCGAATGACTTTTTATAGTATGCCTTGGGAAGGAAAAGGGGTGGACCATGGCCGGAGATTTGCGAATCACTTGTTGAGGATTTAGCCGCTGTCTCAAAAGTCTTCTCAAATCTGGTCTCAGTTTGGTCAATGGTTCCATGGAATGATTCGGTTCCGATTCGGTTCCACTGCTCACGGTTCCTGTTCTGGTTCCGGTTCCATTTTTTACGAACCGTTCAAACCGGTTCCGGTTCCAGCAAGAACCGTACCGAACTGAACCGTGTGCACCCTAGCATGTCCTCCTAAAAATTCCAATTTCTAAACATAGACATATCTAATATGGGATGGAGGGAGTACATATTACTATATGTTTTAGGAACATATATGTCACAATGTTACGAGAGTAATATCTTCGCAAAAACTCGCCCATTGATGAAATGAACCCTGCCTGAAGCCACCATGAGACCAATCTTGATATAGTAATTGCCCCACCAATAGAGGGATAAACTTTGGTATAAAAAGGGATTCTTATTTTTGTGAGGTGGATATATATACACACACACACACACATCGGCCAATGGAGTCATAAACACTCTCAAATTTCCTTGTTAATAGAGAAATGAGGAATTATGAAGAAAAATAAGGAATTTTCATTAGTTGGAGATATCACATTGTAAATACATACGAGTTGTATACTTTCTTGGGCAGGCCCCAGCAGCAAACCCAATTCTTGAATTGGAGACATCATAAGCCACCCTATATGTCTGCTGCGGATAGTTTCCAATAATGGCGAAAGCATCTGTGCCTGAATTTCCTGCAAAGGCCAAGCACGTAATACCCTTCTCATTCCCTTTTACAAGAATGCTTTGAGGCGCAAGAGTGAGGTCGGCCTCTCCTTGAAACACAATCCGAACCTCGGGCACAGCTAATGACATCTCCTTCAAACTACCTTTGTAACATGTATCGAGAACACCAGAATGGGTGATAGTCTCGTACTTTAAGGACATGATCTTCGTGAACTCATCATGGAGAGCTGCATATACTGATGGAGGCAGATCTAATATTGTTGAAATGTTGTACTCGGCCTCTGCCACTTCCAATGTCCTGCCTGCCACCACAATTGCGGTCAAATTCAAACCGTACAAGCTGCTATCTATAGAATTAGTAAGCATTGGAGTGAACTTGTAGGATGATCCCATCAATGAATCCCTTCCTATGGACAATGAGCCTACAAAGTCTCCACTCGCTGTTGGGAGGCAGTAGGAGAAGGCAGATCCATATTTGGCTGACAGCTGAGAGACCATGGAGAGTTTGTTGCGTCCTAGGCCAAAAGACCAGAAGACTGACTGAAAAACCCTTGATTGTCCTGGCTACACCTGAACACAAAGCCAGGCAGTGTTTCTGATTGGGTTAGGGTCAGTGAATCCTGACTCAAGTAGACAGTAGAGGAAGAGCGGTCGCCATAGGTGCTTTCGTACAGACACTCTTTAGAAATATTGCAAGCAGAGTTATCTAGTGCAATACACTCTGGCGTTGCGCACAATAACCTTTTGTAGGTGCTGGATAAATAGGGATAAAAAATGGCAACGTCGCAAGGCTTGTCGCAGTTTAGCCAGGAGAAGGAGCTGCCTGTGTCAACAAGCACGGGATAGTAACTGGGTGGAGTGCCAAGACCAATCTTGACATAGTAATTGCCACTGCCAATAGACCGGCCAGGGTTCAGGGGTGTGCTGATGAACTTTGGTCCAAATAGGTTTTCTGATTTGTGTGAGGTGGAGTTCGTGATCACAGTGACACTGCTTGTTCTAGTCTTAGTGAATAGGGAGTTGAGATGCTCAACTCGTGCTTGGTCCTGAGATATTAACTCAGAGAAAGATGATGGAGACTGGGAAGTCATAGGTGAGCCATGTCCTAGCACATGATACAAGATCAAGTGCAAAGCTGAACGGTTGAGTCCTTGCTCATATCCTGCCCAAAAAAGAGAAATACAACAAGTTAATTAATTAATGTCCCTTTTCAGCTATGAATAGTACATATGCACAACATATAATAATTATATGGTCTTTCCCAATCAATAAAATCCATGGAATCAGAGGAATACATCTTATATATGAACAAAGAGATTAATATATATATATATATATATATATATGTATGTATGTATGTATATATGTATGTATGTATGTATATGTATATGAAATGATGCAAAGAATATGGGAAATTAACCAAATGAGATAACCCATATCACATGCCTTGATGCCCTGCAAATGAAGATGTTGCCTGCAGAAGAAAAGAAGCGACGAACCCAACCAACCCCATTTTTCCTACACCTTTTGAAATGCTTTAAGTAGATTTCATGTATATCTTCATATATATATAGTATCACTCACACACACGTAAGCACATAGGTTTTGGTAACAATTTTTTGACCACTTTGGCTCTTCAAATGAGTCGATTATTTAGACACCCGAATGGTCTCTTTTGCAATTAAAGTCATCAACTACTTAATATTGACAAGTCCAGGAGCGTTCTTTAAAAAGAAACTGCCAAAAAGATAGTATGCAAACATAATTTTTAACCAAATTTTTTTGTCCAAAAGTAATAGCATTTTAAAAATAATATGCACACATTCCTTCATCTAAAAATTATAAGAAACGAATTTATTATTTCATTAAGATCTTCTTATGCTTGTATGACACTATTTCTACCAAAAGTGGAATCATAGTAATTTTGTGTATTCTTCACATTTCATTCTTCAAAGTTTGAAAAAGTTGCCTCTATTTTACCTTATTTATTTATTTCTTTTTCTCTTTCATCTTCCCAGTTGCAAATGCCGTGAAATCAACAAGCTAGTCTTAATTAATTAATTACTTATTATTAAAAAGATAAAATTGTAACAAACTTGTAAATTCATCTTACATTCCTAATGGTACATACCACTCCACAAAATCATCCCTTCTTACATGAATGGGCTGAACACATAAATTCTATTTTCTATTTTTTCCTATTACAAAACCATGTCTCTTAACAATCATCATTGTCAAAAAGCTTTGTTTTTATTTTTCTCCAACCCCGCACATAATTTATGGTAATGAAATTAACAAGTATTTATGCTGATTTTCACATGCACTATTGCTCTGATGTGCAATAATTCAATAAACACCTTATTTATGTGCGGGTAAGGTTTTAAAACTAGTCATTCACTTTTTTCAAACAAGCTGAAACCATGTCTGCACGATTAACCTTACAGTGGGTTCGAGTATGGAAGTTAATAGAAGTGGAGGTACATGATCAATGGAAGAGGGGTGCATGGATGAAAGGCAGACAAATAGTTTGGCTTATAATTTTACCGAGTATGCTTCGCAGAGAAAAGAAACTATCTGTTTTTATGATGTTTTCCCTCTTCTATAGAAGAGAGAGTTTATATGGATTGTATTCATATTTACTCTCATTTAATGAAATATTTTCTTGCCTTGAAAAATAATAATAATAATAATAAATAAATAAAAAAACACAAAAACCTTAATTCTGTAGTTTATTCGGTCATAATACATGAAGTTCACAATGGCTGCTCAAATTTTGTCTTTTCAAAGTGCTACTGACCCCATTAGCTCCAAGGATTCTCTCATCAAATTCGGAGAGAAATCACTTCCAACAGTTTGAATTATAAGATGCACTGCAGTGGATTTCATGTTTTGTATCTCATTGTCTAATAAATTTGGACCAGTGATTCCGCTTTCATGTGATGTTTTTATTTTTCACCAAATTTTTTTTTTTTTTTTAAATTTTCGTCGTAAGAAGAGCATTTTTGTCTTTTGCCATTTTGTGTACCAGATACTACATATTGTGCCGGTTGCGTCTGAGAATTGATTGGGGCATTTCATTGAGTTTAGGACTCTTTGAAATGTAAGGATGTCATTTTTGTATTTTTTTTGCTTTTCGGGCCGGATGGTCTCGTCTGGGACCCGCTACCAGAATTGTTACACACAGGGATTTTAGTTGGGTCTATTTGCATCATATCTATTTTATTTAATGTGTTTTAAATGATTGTAAATTAAATGTGTATAGATATATATGTGTGTGGTGTAAAATGAAAACAGAAGAAAAAGGAAAAATAAAATAAAAATTAGTGGGACCCACCTTAGCCTTTTAAAGTGAATTAGAGACCACTCGGGTCTCATTTTTCTCTCATTCCCGTAACTCTCTCTCATCTCCTCTCTCTGGAATTTTTTTTTTTTTTTTTTCCTTTGGCCTTAAATCTTTAGACTTTGATTTTTCACTCAATGCTTGGAATTTTTGGAAGCCGTTTGTGGTAATTCGAAGAGCACGGCGAGATCTTCACATTCATATAAGCAATTTCAATTTTAGTACACTCTAGGGTTTTCGGTTTTGAGACCCATTTGGGGGGGTTTTTGGCTTAATTTGATGTAGGGGTCTCTAATTCCCACTTTCTTGCACCTTTGTGAGTTTTTCTATTAAAATTATTGTTATGCATGCTTAATTTGAGTTGATTGTCTCTTAAATGATTTAATTATGTATATAAAGCATTCAACTATGTGTATTGTTGATTTACATGGAAAATATGCCTAAGTGTTGATTCCTTCTGTCTATTGGGTGTTAACTTGCTAGAAATGTGTATATGAAGCATGCAATTATGTGTATTACTTTATGTAATTATGTGTATTACTTATTTGGATGGAAAGCATGTTTAAGTGTTAATTTTTCATGCTCATTATGTTGTTATTTTGGTAGAAATGTTATGTGAGAGCATGTGAAATTTTCTTGTGTAGATTAAGTTGAAATTGTTGAAGAATGATGAATACATATGTATGGCATGACATGTCCATGCATGAGCATTTGGAGGAAAATAGGAATAATTTGTTTGAAATGAAAAAGGAGAATTTTGGGAAGAAATTTTGATTAAATGATTTTGAGAAAACCCAGTCGCCGTGGAGTCACCAAAGAGCCGGTGTGTTAATATAACCTAGAGGGAACTAGAGGAAAATACCTTAGCGTGATTGAGCTAGCTGGGCCCCAAATGACGCCGCGAGGATACCAAGGGTCAGGGACAGTAGCCAACCATTCTCTCGTGTCGTTGCGGAGTCACCAAAGGACGGGTAATATTAACAGTTTGTGAAAAAATGGATGCTTTCTTAAAATGGGGAGTGACATGCATAATATTGCATTCATGGCATGACATTTGCTTGTTTTGAACTTGGAATTGATATTGTATATTTTTTTTCGGCTTAGCATGATCCCGTTTCCTATTGTCTTATTCATTGTTTGGATTCACGAGGTCATGAGAAGTGTGTCTTAGGCACCACCTACTTAGCTTTATGCTCACCCTATCATTTAAAATATTTTTCAGGACATGGAAAGGAGGTGGCAAACATGTAATGGGTATGATTTTATATATATATATATATATATGTGTGTGTGTGTGTGTGTGTGTGTGTGTGTGTATTAAAGTTATAGAGATATTTTTTTTTAAAAAACAAGTGGGGCCCACCACTATATTAAAAACATCACAAAGGCCATAAGGCCATTACATGACTCAGCTATTTTTTTTTTTTCTCTCTCTCTCTGCGCATCTCTCTTCCAATAGCTTCAACTTTCTTTTTCTTTTTCTTTTTTCTACAAGATTCAAGTTTCAATTAATCTCTCATCTATTGGAGTTTTTAGGAGCCGTTTGCGGCAAAACGGAGAGCACGGCAAGATCTTCAAGGGGGTGTAAGCAATTTCAGTTTTGGTGCACTCTAGGGAGTTCGAAAGTATAGGGTTCTTAGGCTCAAATTGGGGATTTTCATCAATTTGAGGTAGGGGTGCTCTAATCCACTATTTCTTGGATTTGTTGGGAATTTTCACCTTTGATTTGACTTGAAGCATGCTAGATTTTAATTTTTGTGATTATGTTTGTTAAGGTTATTTATATTGATGATGATAAATATGTGTTATGTGTTAATTGGGGTTATTAGTATGATGATTTTTAACTTGTAAAGAAGCATGTTAAGGTGTTGATTTGTTTTCATGATTTTAGTTGATATGAAAATTTATGTTATAATTATGGAAATAAATTTGTGAATTGTATATTTAAATTAATACCAAAATGTGGGATAGAATTTGAGTTGTGTATTTCTAGCAAATTATTAATTTGATTGAAAAAGTATGTGGGAACATTATAGTTGAATTGATGAAATGAAGTATGAAGCATTCATGCATCCATTGGGGAAGAAATAGGGGGAAAATGTTTTAAAATAAATGAAATTGTTTTTTTTTTGGAAAAAATATTTTTTTAAAAGGAGTTTGTGAAAACCGGACGCCTAGGAGGCGCCTAGTGGTCCGTGTTGTTAGTGTAGTCTAGAAGGGAGTATGATTGAGCTAACTAGGCCGGATGCGACACCTTGGAGGTGCCTTGAGGTCGCAGATAGTTAGTCAACCCTCCATTCGTGACACCTTGGAGGTGCCTTGAGTCGGATTACACTAACGGTTTGGTTGTTGAAACAGAATTGTTTCGGAAATTGGAAGCGACATTTGCATAACATTGCACTTCATGGCATTTTAGTAAATCTGTGATTGGTTGACATTTGTTACATATTTGTAGTTGTGGTTGAGAATATGTATTTCCCATGGTATGACTTCGTCCCTTTTTATCCATTCTTTGTATGGGATTCACGCGGATATAAGAAGTGTGTCTTAGACACTTCCTACTGAGCTTATGCTAACCCCATTATTTTTTTACATTTTTCAGGACATGGAAGGGAGGTGGTGGATGACGATCCACCACAGATTTAGACAAGCTTGAAGACCCATTTTATTTTGTTACCTTTTGTATTAGAATTCTAATATTTTGTAAATGTAATATTAACTATCTTGTGAAACTTTAGTTTAATTAGTATAATGTTGTAAGCTATGGACTATTAAATTTTAGCTACATTTTATGGACTGTAACTTGATGCAACTAAAGTATACTCCTTATTTGGATGAGATGGAGGAATGGGACATTTTCATATGTATGTAACCATCTTGGGAATGTGTTATAATATATGTATTGTGCGTTGGGACATGATAGGTTATTTTTAAGGCCCAGTGAGGCCATTACACTTTTTTTTTTTGTATTTCAACAGGTTATAAAGGGACTTTTTCTGTGGGGTCATGCCGAAATTATATATATATTATTATCATTATTTTGGTATCTTTCCGGGTCGTTACAAATTTGGTATCAGAGCGATGGTTCGAATACCATTAGGACGACGCGTAGAGACCTACCTGGGATTACATGGGGAGTTGAGTTATTTGTTTACTTGCTTAATTGCTTATGTGATTGCATGCTTATATGCTTATGTGTTAAGGTGTTTAATTATTTGAAAGGCATGCTTAATTATTTAAATGCTTATATAATTACGTGTTAAGTGGTTAATGTTGTTGTATATTATTAACATGATCATGTTTATCCTTAGTTGGATATTTTGGGAGTATGGAAGGTGTTTATGTGTTTCCATTCTTGTCAAGTCATTCTTGTGAGGACTCATTTTCGAACGTGTTTTAGTACCATCGTTTTTAATCTGTTTCCTTTTTCTTATAGCGTCATGCCACCACGAAGGGATCCCGGGGAAAGTTCTAGCTCCAATCCTGTGGAAAGGGATTAGGAGCAAGTTGAGGACAATATCTTGTTGCGTGATTTGGTCCCACCAAGAAGGGGACAAGCGAGGGGGACCGTTCATCCACCTTTTTAGATAAATGAGGAACAGTTACAGTTGGCTGTTGAGGCAGCTCTTTTCAAAGCATTTCGACGGGCAGGTGCATCATTGTTACAGTTTGTGCCACCACCGGCACCGCCACCACCACCACCACCTCCAAAGACAAATAAGTTGAATGATACTCTTTATCACATTGCAAAGTTTGTGAAACTGATGCCAACTTTGTTTGAGGGTGGCCCAGATCTGCTTGTTGCGGATAGTTTCATGGATAGGGTGGAGAAGCATATTAATGCCATGAATTTGGCAACGGACAAGTTGAAGATCACATTGGCGACTTACAATTTTATTGGTGATGCTGAGATATGGTGGAAGACCGTTTCACATACGCACGATTTGGATACTATGACATATGATACTTTTAAGAAATTGTACTATGAGAAGTACTTTCCGGCGCTTAAGCGGAGGGAACTAAAGAAGGAGTTTGATGGGTTAAAGCAAGGAAACATGACAATTACAGAGTATGAGAACAAGTTTACTTCGCTTTTGAGGTTTGCACCGAGGATTGCTCATGATGAAGAAGGAAAGATAGAGAAATTTATTGATGGCCTTGATCTTACCATTAGTCTAATTGTAGCTGCTTCAGAACCGACAGAGTATGCAAAAGCAGTGCGAAAGGCCTTAGTGATTGAGGCTGAGAGTAAGGACAGCAAGGCTATCAGGGAGTCCTACAAGCACAATAGGGGTATGAGTACTTTCTCCGAAGGTCAATCAAGTAAGAAGCAGAAGCATGAGCAGTCAGGGTTCAGGGGACAGCAGCCAGTCAGATTCGTATCCACAGCTTCAGTGTCTATAGGGTACCGAATGTTACTTATTTCAGATGTAGATAACCGGGATATTACAAGTCCAAATGCACTTAGGCTCAGGTAGCTCAAGTGATTTGTTTCAAGTGTGGGCAGTCAGGGCATCACAAGTCTCAGTATACTCAGATTCAGATATCGTCTGGTGGATGTTTCAGTTGTGGCCAGCAGGGCCATAGAGTGAAAGATTGTCCACAGCAGGGCAGTGGTTTGGGTAGAGGTGGAGGTTCACAGCAGAGGCAAATACAGTCTTCCATAGTTCAGTCAGGGTTTCGACTGCTACTACCACCTCAGCTGTCTCAGCCAGCCATGTCAGCCTAGAGTTCTCGACCAGGTAAGGGAGCTTTTTCGAGTACACCCACTCAATAGTCTGGTTATCAGGCAGGCGGTTTTCAGGGGCAGAGGACACAGGGTCGTATGTTTGTACTCACTCCAGCCGAGCCACCATTCAGTCCTTCAGTTGTCAGGGGTATGTTTCTTATGTCTCATTCTTGGGCTCGTGTATTGTTTGATTCTGGTGCTTCCTATTCATTTATTGCTTCATCATTTACACGTGTATTGGGGTCGGAGGTTAGTCAGTTAAACAGACAGCTTTGTGTTGACACGCCTATCGGGGGTTCAGTTGCTCTTAATAGAGTTTGTAGGAGTTGTTCCATCACGATTGTCGGACGTGTTCTTGAGTTTGATCTCATTCTTCTCGAGATGACAGGATTTGATGTTATTCTTGGGATGGGCTGGTTATCATCCTTCAGAGCTGTCATTGATTGTTTCAGGGGCAGAGTTTCAGTGTGTACCCCGGATGAAGATTGTTTCTATTTTGTGGGAGATCGGTGTGATCCTCTCACTCATTCATTCTATAGTGTTAGGAGTCGGGATTGGCAGACGTTCTTCTTGGCTAGCCTTTTTGCCCATGATAATGTGGAGTTTTGTGGGGCTGATTATCCGGTGGTTGTACGCGACTTTCTAGATGTGTTTCCAGAGGACTTAACTGAGTTGGCTCCACATAGAGAGGTAGAGTTTGCTATTGATTTGATGCCTAGTACCGCGCCAATCTCTATAGCACTGTATCGTATGGCACTAGTTGAATTAGAAGAATTGAAAAAATAGCTTGACGAATTGAGGATGAAAGGCTTTATCTGACTGAGTGTGTCACCGTGGGGTGCAGTGGTCTTGTTCGCTAAGAAGAAAAATGGTTCTTTGAGGTTGTGCGTTGATTATCAAAAGTTGAATCATGCCACCATTAAGAACAAGTATCATATGCCAAGGATAGATGATTTGTTTGATCAGTTGAGGGGAGCTAGTTGTTTTTCAAAGATTGACTTGAGGTCAGGTTATTATCAGTTGCGGGTTAGAGAGGAGGATATTCCAAAGACTGCTTTCCATATGCAGTATGGGCATTATTAGTTTTTTTGTCATGCCTTTTGGTCTGACTAACGCACCAGCGGCATTCATGAATTTAATGAACCGTGTCTTCCATGATTACTTGGATCAGTTTGTGGCACTTTTTGTGGATGATATTCTTGTGTATTCACAGACTCGGGAGGAGCACGAGGTTCATATGAGTATAGTGTTGCAGATTCTACGGGAGCACCGTTTATACGCCAAATATGAAAAGTGTGAGTTTTGGCTATAAGAGGTGAATTTTTTGGGACATGTTGTCTCGAAAGGTGGGGTTTCAGTTGATCCTTCAAAGATAGAAGCAGTTCTGAATTAGGAGCAACCCAAGAATGTCTTTGAGACCCGGAGTTTCCTTGGCCTAACGGGTTATTATCGGAGATTTGTGAAAGATTTTTCCCGTTTGGTAGCTCCTATAACCAGATTGACCCGGAAAGAGATCAAGTTTTCATGGAATGAGGCATGTGAGTCATCCTTTCAAGAGTTGAAAACAAGATTGACTACGGCTCCAGTGTTGGTGATACCTGAGCGTGGCTTGGGTTATGTGATCTATTATGACATCTCACATGATGGTTTGGGTTGTGTACTGATGCAGGATGGTAGAGTAGTGGCTTATGGGTCTCGACAATTGAAGACTCGCGAGCTTAACTACCCTACTCATGACTTGGAGCTAACAGTAGTCGTTTTTGCCTTGAAGTGTTGGAGACACTATTTGTATGGTTAGAGATTTGAGGTGTTCTCAGACCACAAGAGTCTCAAGTACCTTTTCTCCCAAAAGGACTTGAACAACAGACAGAGGCGATGGGTTGAGTTCTTAGAAGACTACAACTTTGATTTGCAGTATCATCCGGGTAAGGCAAATGTGATTTCTGATGCCTTAAGCCGGAAATCTCGTGGGACTTTGGCTGGATTAGCCATTCGGAAGTGGAAGATGCTTGAAGATTTGGCTGAAAGGGGATTGTATTGCTTTGATGATGGCAGTGAGTTAGCCTTCTTGTTTAGTCTCGTGGCTCAACCCACTATTGTCAGGAGGGTGATTGAGTTACAGAGACACGATTCGGATTTGGATGTCATTTACACCTTGATCTCCAGTGGTGAGACTGTGAAGGATTAGGCCTTACATGTAGATGGAGGTTTACGGTTCAGAGGTTTGTTGGTTGTTCCCACAGTTTGTCGTGAGGATGTCTTACAGAAGTTTCACACTTCCCGCTTTGCAGTTTATCTGGGCGGTACCAAAATGTATCACAATCTTAGACATCAGTATTGGTGGAATGGAATGAAAAAGGACATTGCATAGTTTGTGGCTAAGTGCCTTACCTGTCAATAGGTGAAGGCCAAGCACCAGAGACCAGCTGGTTTATTGCAGCCATTGCCGGTAGCGCAGTGGAAATGGGAGGAGATTGCAATAGATTTTGTGACAGGTCTTCCTAGGTCACGGAGGGGAAATGAAGCCGTATGGGTTATTATTGATAAATTGGCCAAGACAGCTTACTAGAAGCAACATTAGTGACAAGTTTTGGAGGTCTTTTCCCCCTGAGGTTTTCCAGATTCTTTCAATTTCAAGGCGAATGTCACCACCAGCTATTGCTATAATGAAATAGTGCATGCGCTCTCAAAGAACGAACAAGAATCGATTTCCTTTTCGGTGTCGCCAATGAATGACTATTTACGTCAGGTTAAAGGGTCAAGAAATCACTTACAATAAGGTGCAAGTTTTGATGAAGCAACTAAGGAAAAACCTTGATTAAGGAGGGAAGGGATAGGCCTTGAAAACTTTATGTGAAAGAGAATGTAAGATTGTACGGAAGTTCTAGTGGCTATTGTTTCAGATAGGGATGCTAAGTTTACTTCGAAGTTTTGGGAAGGACTTCAAGCAACGTGTAGTTTATCGTTGCACCTTAGTACGGCATTCCATCCGCAGAGAGACGGCCAGTCGGAACATACCATCCAGATATTGGGGAATATGCTTCGGGCCTATGTACTTGACTTAGGTGGTAGTTGGGAGGATCACCTTCCACTTATTGAGTTTGCCTACAACAACAGTTATCAGGCGAGTATTCAAATGGTTCCATTTGAGGTTTTGTATGGTAGACCTTGTAGGTCACCTGTCTGTTGGACTGAGGTGGGTGAGACAGCCACCTTAGAACCCGACATTGTACTCAAGTCTACCGAGAAGATTAAGTTGATCAGGCAGAGATTGCTTACAACTCAGAGCCGACAGAAAAGTTATGCAGATAGGCAGAAACAACTGCTATTCTTTGAGGTGGGAGACTACCTTCGGGTTTCTCCACGGAAGGGGTTGATGAGGTTCGGGAAGAGTGGC